TTTTAAGATCACTTTGAGCAGTGGATTAATTTTGCATTAATAAAGATTGATCCTAACATTTCAAAATGTTTTTATCCCAATAAGGGATGCGGTGTGTTCCTTGCTTTTGTAGTTATTTTTATAGCTCTTGAAATTCTTTTATAAGCAATTTTCACATTCCTTTTTTTTTTTTTTTTGGGTTGCATAGGAAATGTTGGATATGGGATTTTCAACTTAGGTGGTTGGGATTTGTTAATTTTTTTTTTTTAATTTCCAATTTTGATTTTGTTATCATAGACCATAATGCTTGATGCATAATTGTTGTATATGGTTGAAATTGTTTAATAAGTGTTTCCTTATTTTGACATTTAGAATGTTTTGCAACATGGATTAGGAAAGAAGATAATAAAGGAAACTTAGATGTTGGCCATTGTTTGGGAAGAAGTATTGGGCATTTCTCTTTCAAAGGTATGTTTACGTAATACCTAATGTTATCCATTTCATGGAACTTATAATGGCTATTGATTTCAACTTATAAATTTATTTAGTTAATTGGAAAACTATCCTTGCTTTCTAATTTGGCTTGGAAAGTATTAATTTGGCAAATTTCAAAAGTTATCATTTGATATGATTGAGTCTAAATACATGACTAAACAAAACAATGATTGATGAAGAAAAGGGATATTATTGTTTCTTACGCATCATAATTGAAAAGCATATGATTTTCATAATGAAAGAATAATTTGTATTGGATTTTATTTTTCGTTTAAAATAGGATGTTGATAACTTGATGAGTTGAAATTATATAATTATATATTTTTTCTTCAAATTATGTACCTTACTTATATGCTAGATGGATATAAAGATTAGATTGATTTGAAATTTATTAGAGTTCAACTTAATTTACAATTCATGACTTTAAAATTTATAACATACTAACATTAGTTCATCTTTATTGGTTTTGAATTGTTTTCTTTTCCTGGGACAAAGAATGTTCACACTCATGTTTTACTCTATTATTCAATCTAACTTCAAAATCGAAATCCATTATAGAGGTTTTGAATTAATTTCTTTTCTTTTT